AGAGTCTGTGATAGGGAAGGCTTCCCTGAGGAAAGATAAATCAAAGTTCAGGTGAAGAAAAAGGAAAAACATTCTAGGCAGAGGGAACAGCAGGTACAAAGGCCTCATTGTAGGAGGGAGCATGGCAAGAATAAGGGACTGAAATAAGGCCAATATGGCTGGAATACAGAGCAAGGCAAGAAGAACATGGCTCAAGCCATGACTAGATAGAAAAGTAGGGGCCAGACTATGCAAGACCTTGTAAGACATGTAGATGCCACCACATAAGACATGTAGCTTTGTCCTTATACTAAATGCAATGGAAAGCTACTGAAGCATGTCAAATGGTAGGGTGATATAATTAGGTTTGTAAATTTGAAAAGATCCCTCTCATTACAGTGTAGAAAACAGGTTAGAAGGGAACAAAGTGGATTGGGGTAGGCCAAGATTAGGAGGCTAGTGTTGCAAATGTATCCAAAATGCTAGTAGTTTAGACTAGGGTGGTGATGGATAATGAAAAGAAGTAGATGGATTCAAAAGATACTCAGATTTTGCCAAAAGATTTACATTCATAGATTAAAACCCCTAAAACTGGAATTATTGGGTCAAAAAAGAACACTTTAAGGATTCTGATATGCATTGCCAAGCTGCCCTGCCAAAAGCAGTGTTCTTTTCATTTGTGAATTACCTTGTATCTGTTCCTCTATCAGAATTTTAAAATTCTTTTAAGATTCCTTTAAAATGACTTAATCCATACTTCCTTCATGAAGCCTTCCCTGACTCCCCTTTTTGCCACCTAGGTGGTTACTGAATATTTCCTTCTTTGAGGCCTGGCTCTTATATACATTTCTATTATATTCCAATCAAACTATGTTTGACTTATGTTTATATGTCTATCATCAGCTCTACCACATTGTGAGTTTCTGGAGGGGAAAAAGTTCTTGATACTGATAGCACCTAAAAACAGCTCAATGTTACATAGTAAATTCTCATTAAGTGTTCGCTGAATGAATGAAATCACATATTACCAGATTCTACTGAATCACATATTACCAGATTCTACTGTGTCCACAGATTTAAAAGAGCTCCTGCTTACGCCTCTGATTTACTATTATTTTAAATCAAATATAACACAGGAAGTTAATAAAATTTTCTACTCAGGACTTCAAATACCTACTAAATAAAGTGATTAATGCTGTTTGTGGTATATCACTAAATCTCAGTAGTGCTCCTGAAAAATCTAATAATTACATCAAATAGGTATTATGTAATCTTAAAATATTTTAAAATAGTTTAGCAAAAAAGGCTATGAACAAGCAAGACTTTTATTAGAGAAATTATTTGTAATGAGTTGATAAATGCTGTTTTCAAAATTATACTCATCTCAAACTTAATCATGCACAAATTTACCAAAAAAGGTTAAGCAACTATATAAATTTATAAAGCGTTTCAGAATTATCAATTTCTTATGTTGAAACACGTGATTTCATGTTTTACAGTTAGCATCCAGAACAGTCTACTAGAATTTTCACTAGCTGGAGAAAGACAGAGTGAGGACTGGCAGAGTTCCCTACAGTAATCTTAAAGACAAGCAGCTCCCTCTATAGTCTGTTTGGCCTACTTTGTTTAATTACTCACTTTGTGAACATCTCACTCACACTTTTCTATTTATTCCTACTCTGAATCTCAGCAGGGAAGCTTTTTGAAAGGGTAATTCTGTTTAACCTGGTGCTGAGAAAACAGAGAGCCATCTAAGCTCTCACCAAGTGAGTTACATCAAGCAACTAAGCAAGAGTTGGGATGTGGAACCAGGATAGTTTCCCAGGTCCACCTGAATCAGGTCCTCACAATGAAGGTTCAGGATTTTACTTGAAATGAATTCCCAGAGTAGTCACACCCATTTTCAAATTTAAGTGAAAAACAAAACAAAACAAAATTCCTGTACTTAGTAATTACCTTACTTCCCCTCCATTAAAACAAGTTACCAAAATGTTGTTAATAAAGCTCAATACATTGTTATGTCAAAACAATGTTCAAGACATTTTTAAAGATGAGTTAAACAAAAGCAGGAGAGGTTTTTGGTTTTTTAAAAAAATAATTCCATCACGCACATGAAGAAAATTTTACTGATTCTCAGGATTCAATATTAAACAAGGGATTAAACCAGTCAGTCAGGATTTACCATTCAAATTGAATATGCCACTTTTTTATACCTTTTCAAATTTCACCAACTTAAGATATGAGAGCTTTTAAAACTAAGACAATTTATTTCTTAATTTGCTCAAGATATGCCCTCAAAACAGAAAAATCAGAAGTCAACCGGACTGTTTTCTGAAGCAGAAAAATACTTTTCATGCAATAACAGAAAAATGGAACTAGTAAAAATGTAATAAACCAATCAGTTCAGAATTTATAATATAAATCTGAAGTGACCACTTTTGGGGGGAGAAAATTTCTTGTGCTATTTTTCAAAATCTCGTTTGTAAAGCAAACAAGTTTTAAAACATCTTTTCTTCAAACCGAGATAAAGAATTAAGATTTCCAAAATTAATTACTACATATGAAAGACTTAAGATTATGGTACTTTATTAATATAGGTTTATCATGTGTTACAATTTTTCATTATTTTACTAATTAGTAAATCTAGAAACATAGTTTGTACTTTCAAATAGTGGGGCTGTTTGCATTAAAAATTCTAGCATTCATACTTTTTCTAAGCCAGATTGACCTCTACTATACATTAATTATTTTGAAGTTTTATTTTATTGGGTGGACTGGAGTGGTTTTCTTTGGTGAGAGAAATCAGAAGCAAATAATTGTACAGTTTTTGTTTATGTTTAATTAATACTAATTTTACTGGGAGTTTCTGACATGCTAAAATGCTGGCTTGATTTCTGAAAGCTGAAAACGCTAAATGTATGCCAGTGACTTCAAATTTTTTCACCTGTTGAGGAAACACAAAATTTTTTGTTTAAATGTGAACTACACTTACAGCAAACTCAATGTGATAACTCTTAAAAATGTGAAGTTTGAGTTTCTCTGTAGCAAGTTTTATATTCTCAATGTATGTACAAAAAGTCTTACTTTTATATTCATCATTTACATTATACATTTCAGGTATATTTTTAAAAGTTTGGGCTTGGCGGGGGGGACTGATAATTTATTTTAAGATGTCCAGGAGAGAAGAAATAAACATTTATTATCACACAATAGTTCATATGTCTTTTCTTTTTAAATATTGAGAAACACAAAAGTACATCATAGTTTATTTTTTTAAAAGAATATTTTCTTACATAATAGAATTCTTGCTAGCTCACAGTGAAATTCATTTATTTCCACAAACAAAACTTTCCTATAAAACAGAGCTTGAAAATCACTCAGGGATACATATTTAATGATTTGTGTAGAGAAAAAAAACTATACGTAGAAAAGTAACCCAAATCATACAAACTGTAATAATACATAGAAATGCCACAGTATATCCTATGAACATGTCGATTTATAATTTGGAAATCTGACTGAACAGAGCTATATCAACGTCACTATCTTATACTTTCTCTGCACCTGAAGTGAGAACAAATAGTATATTACAGTGAAATTCCAATTAGAAGCAAAGACAGCAGCACTATATTTAAAAGGGCAGAAAATCTATCCTTCAGAACACTTATTGCCTTTAATTTTCCAGCCTCCAAAGTTTCAAGTATTAATTATACTTTCAATAAATTGTTAACAGCACTCAAATTCCCTATCTTACAAGGTCCATATCATCAAAAACTTTTTCATTATTTTAAAAAGAAATATCTACCCAGGTCTCACTACCAACATTGAAATTTTTAACAAAGAGAATTCACATTAAAAGATAACTGCTTGGAATGAGTGCTTGTGTTTGGGAAAGTAGCACTATTATCGCGGTAGTCCCCAGAAACTGACTGTAGTAATAAGATGAATGGTGATTAGGGCAAGGAGCATCAAGTGGGAAATGCCATCTAAAATCCCACAGGACAACCAACACACAGCTAGAGTAAGAGCATCGCTTTCTGGAGGCAGCTCCATTATTTCATGTAGGCAGTTCAAAGCATGAAGAAAAGCAAAACTAAAAACACCTTGTAAATTTGGCCACTATCCTATTTATATTATAAATCCCCAAGAGCTTCTGAGAACGTAGCTTCTGTCACTGCTGTCTCCCCACCTCGTTCTTCAAAAGTTTGTTTTAAATATACGTGTATTTAAAATGCAACTCTGCAACCCAGCATAGGGGCATTTAAAAATGTTTGTGCTGCTCAGTTTAGCTGTATACGTTTGGCACCATAAACACGCATTTCCTACTTGCATGGACGCACATTTCCCTGAAAAGCACTGCACCTGAGGACGCGCTGCCCAGTCCCCAGACTCCGAGGCTGTAAACTCTGAGGAGTCACGACCTGCACTCACAGCAAGCCGAACCACACGGTCACTTCAATTAGAAAGATTATCGGGCCCCAGGCGCCACTCTTCAGCCTACTGCATCTCCGGAAGGGGCAGAGGAGAGCGCTGGTAGGAGGCGAGGAGGCGCGATTGACAACAGAGCTGACACTTCCCCACTCCTCTTAAAGCCATTTCCAGAAAGGGGCACTTGGGAGGCGCAGGGGGTGTCCGTGGTCCGCTATCGGCAGACCTCCGAGCGAGGCCCTACGAACCCGTTCACGCGGGATATGGCGCGGCCACCTGGCCCAGCCTCCGGGGCGAGAGAGGCGCTCCCAGGCGCTCACCCCCACTGCCCGCCACCCAGGAGTGCGGATCCCGCTCTCCGCCGCCGCACGCATTGTAAACACACGGCGCCCGCCGCCTCCCCGCCGGCGGGGCGCAGCGCTAGCTCGGACCCACATTTTTGCTCCTCGTCACGCACAGGGAGGAAAGGCGAGAGGGGAGGGAGACGCGGCAGCGATTCACCGAAAAGGGCCCGCGGCGTGCGCGCGTGTGCGCGTCGGGGAGGGCAGTCCCGCCGCCCCACCGGCTCCCGCTCGCGCCCTGCGCCCGCTTACCTGCCGGGGTCGCTCCGAAGACTCGCACCACCGGCACCTTCTTGACAGGGGCCTGGGTGAGGGGGGATTGGCAGATGTCCAGCCCCTGCAGCGGGCTGGCCATGTAGTAGTCGGCAGTCACTATCCTCACTGAAAACATGTTCGCTGCCGCCGCCACCGCCTCCTCTTCACTAGCGACCTGGCAGCGGCAGCAGCCGCGGCGGCTCCTACCGCAGCGGCGGCCCCACAGCGGCGGTGGCGCCCCCTCCCCTCCTCGGCTCGTCCCCCTCCCCTTACACACAGACACCGTAGGCAGCAGCGGCGGGCGGGCGGGGCGGTATTGGCACTACTGCCGCCGCCTTCTCAGGAGCACCCGGCGAGGGGCAACAGGAGACAAGCCCTCGCGCCTTCGTCGGTGCTGTTGCTGGTGCTGCCGCCACTGCTGCCGCCGCCGCCGGGAATCACACGGGCTCCTCGGTCCCAGGCTGCAGCTCTTGTTGCCATGATGATGATGTCACGGACGCAACCACTGGGGGAGGGGAGAAGGGGGTTGTGTGTGTGGCGAAGGGAGGGCTGTGAGTAGTAGGGGGAGGGGACGCGGCGGGAAAGGGAGGGAGCGGGGCAGGCGCCCGGGCAAGACACCCAGGCCCGGAAGGTGTTTTCTCCCCCGCCCCCGGGCACGCAGCGAGGGAGCAGGCTGGCAGAAAGCCCGGCCCGCGCTCGGCGCGGTGGATCGATGACTCGGCCAGTGGGCACGGCCACCTGGGTGAGGGGCAGCGGAGGGGGCGGCGGAGCGCCGATGTCATAGATGGGCTCCGAGGGGCTTGCGGGAATGGGGGGCGCCAGGGCCGTTTTGGCGGCTAGGCGGGATTGGCCCGAGCTGCGGTGCTCGCCTCGCCGACCGCCATTTCACGTCCCGCAGCGAAGGCGTGGGCAGCTGCGGAGACGGCTTTTTACAAGGTAAGGAAACCCACCCGCAGGAGGAGGCAGCGGAGGCGCAGATCTCGTGCCGCCGCGGCCTCGCGGGAGGGCGGGCGGCGGAACAGGCGGGGCCGGGTGCGGACGCGGCCGGCCCATTTCAGGGAACGCCGCGACTCCGCGCGTGGCCCGGGGGCGGTGCGAGGGGCGGGGGCGCGCGAGCGCGGGCTTAGGCCTATAAAAGGGCGGTCCCCGCGTCCTTTCCTGAACGTGCAGCGCACTTCGCGGCTTTCCCTCCTCCTCTTTCCCTGCTGTGCTTCGGTGTCTGCGCCCGGCCACGTAATGAGATTTATTCACGCTCGGCTCTGCTCAGCTTTGTCCAGGGTTGGCCGATCCCGTGCACAGGATTTCCCACCACGGTGTTTTTCTCCCGCCCCTTTGCTTCCTCTTGCCCTAGTATATCCTTCCTTGGCTTCCACCTCTGGCCCCGCAGACTGCATCCCGGGCGCGCGCGTGTACTTGTAAGGACTTGTCAGCTCCCCGTGACTTACCTTCTCCTCTCCCTCCCCCAGAGGAATGTAGGATTAAGAGCCTTTCACAGAAATTTTCCGCCAAAGGAAAAGGCCGGAGAGGGTCACCGCGTTAGATGTGGACTCCCAGTGTTATTATTCATTAACAAGTTGTGCTGGGTTTTAGTATCCGAAGGCATTAAAAGCAAAAGGGGGTGGGGAAGGACCGTTAGACAAAACAACTTTATTCAAAAAGGGGGGAAGTAGGGGTGCAGTTTTGAAATCGAAAAAGTGGTAACAGATGCAGCTGGGTTGGCCATTGTATTGGAACCGATGGGTTTTTGTTTGACTTGGTCACTAATATTGGGTGTGACCTTGAACAAATAACTTGGTTGTACGGGGACCTCAGTTTCCTCATCTCTGAAACGAGTTTCGCTTAAAAATCCATAGGGTTTCTTTCCAACAAGATTTAAGCACTAGGAGGCAGAAACCATGGTTTCAAATTCTAAATATGCCACAAATTAAGACTTTTGACAATCATTTTCAACCAAATTAGAGACCGTTCTTTCACATTTATGTGTTATACAGGTGTATTTTAATGGTTAGTAGGTTGTCATTTGAAGTGGTGTGAGAGATTCTCATTTGGAACCATTGTGGTTCTTCAAATAGAAAAATCAAAAGGCTCAAAGGGACAGATCACTGGTAAGAAGATGTCTATAAATTCTATAACATAGTGGTAATAAGAATTTATGCTCCAAGGGGTTTGAGACTGATTACCACAGTAAATTAGCCTGCAGTTTTCAACCTCAGAGTGTGATTATCAGTATAGGTGGCAAGATTTCTAATATACAGGAAATTGCCTAATATTTTTAAAAGGCAAAATCTGTTAAATTGATTTAAGTTTTAGAAGCTGTTACGGAAGTGATTTAAAAATAGGACTACCATACTAACATGTATTTTCTGTTAAAAATAAATTTTGTCAGACTAAATGTCAGATGCACAATACCAGTGATTCTCATTGCGTTCTTTGGTACTAGAGCATTCTTTAATATTTTGGCCCTTACTAAATCACATTTTTGGGGATGGGGCCTAGAAATTTGTATTGTTAACAACCCCACCCACCACTTTCGTGATTCTTAAGTAATATAAAATTGAGAATCCCTGTACTATAACACCCATAATATTTATACTATTCCTAACTAGAAAAAGGCAAACGCATAAAATTCACAGGTCAGCTATTTCTAGAAAAGGGTTTCTTTCCTCTTGAGTCAATATCATTTACTTTTAAGAAAAGGCAGTTGCAACCACAATTCAAATCCTTCCATAACTAGGAGAAAACTTGAAGAAAAACATTTGCAGCATGAAATTGGGATAGTGTGTCCATTGCATGCATTTGAGTTTAGGTTGATGCTCAATTGAAACCCTGACAATACTCCTCTAATTAATCACTAACAAAGGCTTTTATAAATATATTCTTTTGAAGTTAAAAAGAACTCTGGAATTTTGAGTCAGAGAATGAAAATTTTAAACCATCATTTACTAGCTAAATGAATTTGGACAGTTTTTTTTTAGTTTCCTCATCTATGAAATGGATAGTAATTCCTGTTTTAACTTCTCAGGGATAAGTCCCAAATAAGATAATGTATGTGAAAGTATAATAAACTGTTGACCTCCAGATGTTTTACTCATTTAAAAACAGTAAAAAAATCACTTGGAATTGTCTTATCTACATACAATATGAGAAATGCCAAAATTGAACTCTGTGCTTAATATCCTTAAAGCATCTCTTTTTTGTTGTTGTTATTGTTGAATGGCTTCTATTTGCCAGGTGATTTGAGATACAGTGAGAAGCAAAACAGACATGGTCCTTGCCCTTGTAGAGTTTATAGTCTAGCATCTTAGAAATGTATTTTAGTCATATCAATTGACATTTTATCATCTCTTCTAGTTCATTGACCTGTACTCATCATGTCATGCCTTTAGTAAAAGCCTGTCCACCCTTCAGTTACCAATACTGTTCAGTGTCTGTTAGTGTCTACCTGTTAGCAATTTATAATCTAGAACAGAAGGCAATGACTACCCTAATTTTTTGGCAGACATTATAAGATGGCTTACTCAACATTCATTCAACTGCTTTCTAGCTTGCTTTTCTGTACTTTAGAAGCTAGAAAATTAAAAACTACAAGTCTCCAGACTCCCATGTGGCAAGAGTGCTGGCATGAGATGAATGTGCTCTGCTGGTAAATGTTTAACAATGACTGGGGGAGGGGAAAGACCCTAATTTTGTAGCATTGGCCAGTTTTCATGGTGCGAGTGAATACTTTTGAGCTACCAAAGTGACTTCACAATGTGGAGTTAGTTGGAGGAGATGCTAACAATCACGTGCTGGCTTCAGCGTATCACTACATATGACCTAATTTCCAGCAACCAGATGCACACTTTCCAGATGTGGACATGAAAGTGAGCAACATGATGCCTCAATTGCACTCGGGTAGAAGGGATTTTCTGGCAAACACCATGTGGAGGTGTCTGGTTCTGGGTAGGTGGGGAGGAGTTCTGGTATCCCTTTTTAGAGTCATAGGTACTGACTGGCAGATGGTGCCGGGATGGGTTTGCGCTAGAATAGCCCTGTGATGTGAGATGAGTATTCCTGAGTTTCCTGGATATTGTTTCTAACATATATCCTGGTTGGTTCTTTGGTCCGCTCAGAGATCTGTAAGCTAAATACTACCCTTTAATTCCTTTGTGCTTAAACTAGCTGTCACAGTCAGCTACATCATTTGTGGGGTTCAGAGCAAAATGAAATATATCGGTCCCTTTGTTAAAAAAACAGGAAAAAAGTGCCATTATACAAGTATGTACTGAAATATAAAGCTTTTTCTGTTTTCTGTCATCTCTGACTTTTCATGATTTTTTATTTGCTTTTTAATGTTATTCTAAGAAAAAATTAGAATTTTTAAATTATTAGAATGAGTTTTATTCATTTTTATATTGTACAGTGTCATTTATAAATGCAAATATAAGAACATTTAACTCATGCATGGAATCAGCAACATTACACCATTCATATTTCATAGCTTGTGCATGCACATGTATTTCATGCTTATCAGAACAGTGTAATGTAATGCTGCACAAGACCAGCTTGACTGTTTCCGTTCCCATTCTTGATATGCACACATTGTACCAACCTGAGTAAAGAAGGACGGAAAGGAAAAGAAACTATGGATTACCCTATCTTTCCCCTTCCTTCTATGTCATCATTTGTAGTGTAAATTGTAGTACCAGGAAGTAACACTCACACGAAAGAAGGATATGATAGGGTTCTTTGGTTACTTGTGTTTCTTAGGATGCCATTGCCTTCTTTCTGCTCCTGAAGCAAATTCTGGTTCAGATGGAAAGCATAGCCTCTTGGAGCTGTCACCACCTCTATTAAATCAGTCACAGATGTAACGTATTTGCTTTGTACTCACCTTTGACTCCCTAAGTTCCTATGCATCATAGGTCCACCAGAATCCTGAGCTTATGAGGCATCATGAAGACTGTATGCAAACGGCTGGCAATGAAGAAAGGACACACACATTGCCTCCTCTGCTTGTGTGTATGATGCATTGTACTACTGGACTTCATTTATAAAACGGACTTTCAAGCATAAAAGTATTAAGATTTTCAAAATGGTGACTGCAGAGCATTAAACCAAGGGCCCTGTATGACTGCGCAGTTGGCATGCCCATGAAGTTGACCCCAGGTTCTGTGTTTCTCAGGGGGCTTCTGGTATTTTGGGTGAAACAGTTCTTGATTATGCAGGATATTTAACATCCCTGGCCCCTGGACACTACATGCCACTGTGACTGAAATGCCCCCCATGCATTTCTAAATGCCCCCAAAGAGGAGTTCCTACTCCCCACTGTACTCCTAGAGTGGACTCCACTGTCTGCAGCTAGGAACCATGATCATTACAGATCCAGAAAGACTATGTGCAGTTTTTGCTAGTGATTC